GTACCCCGCGCCCTCTGCTCGCTTTGCAGTAACGTTGGGTCGTAGCCAGAGATGGGCAAGGAGGCTGTCGTGAAACGATAAATTGTGGTCACGACCTAGTGGGAACAGCTAGTCACGACAGTCGTTCAGCGAAAAAAAATCGTCCACGACAGATAGTCGTGATATGGGCACAGGCTAGACACGATAGTCGTCCAACGATAATAAAACGTGACGACATAGTGGGAACGCGCCCTAAGAGAAACATATGTGCCTCTTCCCCCGTGTCAAGGGTGACAAACTTTTTGATGAATTGTCATAATGGAATGTTGTCATATTCGAATGAACACAACTTATATATATACGTATACATATATACTTTGAAGAAATTAGTCTTAATCGTAAATTTTAGTGACTTCGTCAACATGATATTAATTTCTGACGATGTTACAATAATTACAACACTACAATTTTATGTGTAAACAATCACACATCTTATGGTAGTTTTTAAGGCCAGCAGCAAAATTCTGGTAGTACCTACATTTCTTTTTCAGTCACGAATTTTTAGAAAATTTTATATTTTAGTCGAAAACAAAAAGTTACATAAGCTCTAAAATAATAACGTAATCTACGAACATACACAAAAATGCCTGATTGCACGTTAGCTACGTGGTCACACTACTTCTATACCAAATTTCAATTGATTTAGTGGAACGGTTTTCAAAGTAGTGAAAGAAAGGTGGTTTTGGTGACTAGAGAAAAATAAATGTTGTTAGAAGTATAAATAAATTTTTAGACCGAACATTGTTTTTCTATTATGACGATATTTAAAATGTACTTAAGTTACTTAATGCGTTGATTTGTAAAAGAGTGGTTAACAATGTGCTTTTATTACGCTTTATACTAAAAAAACATTTCATGTTGGAGGAAGAATCAAGTCAGCTGACCTGATTCACGACGCGAAGCACCCAATGCTGCTTCACTCGAAGGACAGGTTCACTCAACTTGTGGTCCTCCAGCACCACTTCGACGCCGCCCACACTGACAGAGATTCGGTGTTTAACAACGTAAGGCAACGGTACTAAACGGCAGGAGCGCCGTGAAGTCAGCATGGAACGACTGTCAAGTATGCAAAAACAGACGGGCCAAGCCCCACCCTCCTCTCTCTCATGGGACAGCTACCCGACGCCAGGCTTCAGAGCGGTCACCGGCCACTCACTTACTCAGGCTTGGATTACTTTGGTCCCATGACATTCAAAATAGGTCGCAGACACGAAAAGAGGAGGGGAGCTTTGTATACTTACCTTACAGTTCGCGCCGTCCACGTTGATTTGGTGAGTGACCTAACCACAAGCTCAGTCCCCATAACCTGCGACGATTTATAGCGAGACGCGGCTGTCCGAGTGTCGTAAACAGTGAAAATGCTACGACGTTCCGCGGTGCCGACCGCGAACTCAAACAATCTGTACAAACTATTGACAAAGACAAACTTTTACGTTTCGGAAGTATACGCCAAATTGACTGGAAGTTTATTCACCCAGGGACACCACAGCGCCTGGTGAGGAGTGTTAAGACTGGATTTCGCGCTACACTTAAAGATAGGACTCTAGACGAACAGACTTTCACGTACTGTTTTAGCCGAAGCAGAATCATTCGTGAACAATAGAGCCTTGACGTATGTGCCACTTGACTATGATGATGACTTACCTTTGACGCCCAACGACTTCCTGAAAGCTGACATCAAATTCGTTGCCACACCCTTTGGACAATTTTGTGACGGAGACGTGCTCAGACGCTCCTGGCGGGAATCCCAACGACTCGCCGACCTCGCCTGGAAGCGATGGGTGAGAGAATACTTGCCCATCCTTATCAGGCGAGACAAGTGGTTCCGATCCCCTGATAAGCCGCTAGCTATTGGTGACATTGTGATCGTGGTGGACGACCAACTGCCACGGGGACAATGGCCCAGGGGCTGCATTGTTAAAGTATACCCAGGAGTAGACCACCAGGTGCGTGTAGCTGAAGTACAGACAGGACAAGGACTGTACACACGACTGACGACGAAACTGTGCAGACTGGATGTCCGCTCCTCACCCTAGTATCAGTCTTCTGATACTGGAGGGGGAATGTCGCGTCCAGCCTCCATGGATGACCAACATCTAGCCTCCATGGTTGACCAGATTGACAGGCCACAAATACAGATTTACTTGACTGACAGGAATTCGAAAGTAGACCTTTGACTTTGTTTTGGACAAAAGACGACGACCGACCTTCATTTCTTTGACAAAGGAAGACGAGGGCATTCCTGACCAAACCTCAGATGTGAGTAGACGACTTCTCCTGACTAAATTTTACAGACAGACCGTACAGTTATGTATAACTGTAAAAAAATTTCACAAAAAGTTATTCTATCTTATAAGATAGAATAACTTTTTGTGAAATATATTAAATTCAAATTAACATTGGTTTTTCAGATTTTATATTTAGGAAATAAGAATAGAAAACATAACCTCTTAACCACTAACCATGTTTACACATGAAATTAGCTTTTTTATGGACTTCGGTTACAGTCATAGGGTCGTATTCCAGACTCAATGCTCAAGTCGGGACTTGAGTATGAGTTCAAGCACTAGAAATACGACTCTAATGGCAAGGACTTGAGTATGATTTCTAGGCTTTGAATCATACTCAAGTCCTGACTTGAGCATTGAATATAATTCCGACCTATAGATTTATAATAGGTTACAGTCAATTATTTTTATTTTACTGAGTATTGGCTGTATAGCTATCAGTTTAAAAACATAACGAACGTAAAAAACAATTAAGAAACTCAAAATTAAAATATACCAAACACTTTGGAAATCATACTCAAGTCCTTGCCATTGCGACCAATACGACCCTAATGGCAGAGACTTGAGTATGATTTCAAGTGCTTTAAACCATACTCAAGTCCTGACTTGAGCATTGAGTAGAGTTCTGGAATACGACCCTAAAGCACTGAAAATCATACTCCAGTACTTGCCATTAGGGTCGTATTTCCAGTGCTTGAAATCATAAGTCTGCTCAAGTCGTGACTTGAGCATGATACTCTAACTGAGAAAAGCCTAGAAAAGAAAAAAAAACATCCAAAAAAATTTAAAATTTGAAAAGTAAAAAATATTAATTCGTCTACGATTTCGTACATAAGCTTCACAAAAAGAAAGAGAAAAATAATAATACTTGGTTGCAACAATGAGTAATTTGCTTGTTTTATACAAATAGTTTTTTTTGTAATAGCAACAGTGTGGCCAATGTGGCAGGATACTGCCTTTTTGGCAGGATGGTCCCCTTCGTTTTACCTTTGGCAGGTTCTGACGTTTTATGAAATTGCCGATCCCACGGCGCCGACTCAACCGGCGAGAGGTAAACCCGGGGGAGTTTTAGTGGGGCAGGCCCTCTAGTCTGGAGGGAGAGTCCCCAAATAACCCCTGAGTCTCCCTGGGCTCAGGGGTATCCATAAAGATTTCCCCCTGTAAAAAAAATGGATCTGGCAGTATTAGCAACATGATTTGGCAGATTTGGCAGTATAGCGTTATCACAGGTTTAAAAAATAAATTAAATTTCAATTAAGGCAACTCTAATTAACAAACACAGAAACAGCTAGATTGGTTTACTTGAGCTGCTTTGACAGTTTAATGACATACCTACGGCCTTCCTACGGCATTTTGTTTTGAGGAAATGCCACATAGATTAATAGAATATTTGTCCTGTAGAAACGTGCGGTTAGGGCAATTTACAATCTAGCCCTCAGAGTGTCTTTGAGAGATAAGTTTAAAGAGATTAACATTCTTACACTAACGTAACGTCATAATACATTTATGGAAATGTTATATAAGTTAAGAACTTAGACTCTAAGGTTAAGAAAAATATTGCTTTTTTTTTATGAAAAATAGTCTCAATTTAAAATGTTTATCTAAAATATTGTAATGATAAATGTATTCAAATGTATATTTACAAAGAGCAGAGTTATCTAGAGTTTCTAGCTCATCCTTCTCAGGGAATCTGCCTTACGAATGAGTAGTGGAATTTAATCATTATGATGATTTCAAGTGCAATTTGCTTACATCTGAAATAAAGATTATTTGACTTTGACTGAAATTTGTGAATCCAGTTCAGAATGGATATACTTTTTTCTTCTGTGCCTTGCGCATTTTCCGTCTAGTTAGACGTAAATTATTCTTCAAATTCATATAATGTTATTGTAATAAAAAAAAAATGCAAAATATCACTTTTTTGCATTGACTTACAAATAAATGGACGACGGGTCTAATACAAAAACCACGAAAAAAATGTCCCAAGTCAACCTATTCGAAATTTAAATTGTTATGTCATCGCAGTATCACGCTGTCCGTAGAACAAATGAAGACTAAAGCGGAGTGTCGCGCTCTGTATACGATTTTAGCGCCTTACAAGTGCGGACACTTTTTAGCGCGGACCCGACGACGTCCATATAATTGTAAGTCAATGCTTTTTTGTCTCTTAGTCTTTAGTCCTTTATTTTATACAAATTAAGTTGACAGTATTTTGGCATTTTTGCACTAAGAGTGTGGCAGGATTTGTCGGTTTTCTTCTCAGACTATTTCTTTTATTTTTTTTTTCCATCCTCTAAGGTTTTCCTGCTACTCTAAGGGTCGTATTCTAGAACTCTACTCAATGCTCAAGTCAGGATTGCACTGGAAACACAAACACTGGAAATACGACTCTAAGGGCAGGGACTTGAGTATGATTTCGAGTGCTTTAAACCATACTCAAATCCTGACTCCAATGCTCAAGTCAGGATTGCACTGGCAACACAAGCACTGGAAATACGACCATAATGGCATGGACTTGAGTATGATTTCGAGTGCTTTAAACCATACTCTTATCACTTGACTTGAGCATTGAGTAGAGTTCTAAAATACGACCCTTAGGCAGGATATCTGATTTTAATATGGTCACACTGAATAGCAAGTATGCAACCAAAACAAAACATTCAATTTGTGTCTATTAAATCTCCTTATGAGTGTAGTGTTCTGTGGTGTAAATAATCCACTTAAAAAGTTGTATTTTGTGTTCTATTAACTAAAATCATGAATATTGAAAATGCTGCAATTAATATACTTACACGAGGTGTGGAGTTAGACACCAAAAAACGATATACGGAAGCACTTGTTTGTTACCAAGAAGGCTTACAGATTTTAGTGGATAAAATTAAAGGTGAGAACTTTTACCATAAATCTTATTGCGTAACTATAAGATCTTTTTCTATATTAGTCGTTATTGTAGGTGAACCAGATGAGTCAACAAGATTATATCTTAGGAAGAAAGTTGAGGAGTATATGAAGAGGGCTGAAACAATTAAAAAGCTAGTACTTCAGCAAAAAGAAACTGGTCAGTTTCACGAACAAGTAAATATTGAGAACAACTCGACGGGCCATAGCTATAAGACTTTGTTTGGTCGATTTTTAGATGAAGATGTGAATATTGTTACTGTTGAAGACCCTTACATTAGAAGTTTTCATCAGGTTTGTTGTTGTCAATTTACACTCATATTATTTTTCGTTCCATTTCATGTCATTGTGTACAATAATATGTTATATAATGAGGCCTGTATGCTTTGATCTGTAGTCTTATAAATGATCTCAACACATTTGTGCACTTCTCCATCTACTCTCTTATTATAATGAAATTAATATAGTTTTACATTTTTGTCACAATTGAGCGTTAAACTTTACCTGTATAATAACATGTCCGTACCAATTAATTTGGATTGTGTCTTTGTGATACTGGAATGTTGCTGGTACTTAAAGAACAAGTTTTCTTTTTTTTAAGTGCCAGCTTGGATATGTTCTGATATTGGCTGTACCTTTTATTATGCACTTTGTATACTTTGTAACGTTTAAGTTCTATGAATAAATAAATTTATTATTATTATAAACATGCACACTGGCCCATTGGTGGGACTTCCCACATTTTCGATTACACATAGTTTTCGCACAATATGTGCCCCCACAGTTAGCAAGAGGTCATGCTACTAAACATTCTCAAATACATAACTTAGAAATTAAATTATTAATATGAACATTGAACACAGAGAGAAATTCATTCAATCTGGCTGGATTCAAACCAACTTCTTCAGTGTACCAGGCTGACTCTCTCCCAACTAAGTTAAGGAATGAACCAGCAGACCCGACGAATTTCTTTATTATTGCTATCTGTGAGAAGTTTGTGAAAGCTTTTTTTATATTAATAATTTTAACAAATTAGAAAGCAAAGTTATAGATATAGTACCAAAGCAGTGGAATCTCTCTGGGGCACTTCCCAGAGCACCCAGACCAGAACCAATTAAGACTTATTCATTTCCAAAATTGGTTCTAATGGGAATCAAACCCGGGGTCTCCACATCCAGTGCCCACAGTGTAAACCATTAGGCCATTGAGGTTGTTCTGGGAAGTGCCCAGGGCGAATTCCGTTGCTTTGGTAGTTATAGTACAGGGAATTCCTTAGTTTGAGATGTCGTCTGCTGTATCACAATCTCACCTGTGGGTTATTATAGTTATACCTTTATTTAACTGCCTCAGTGGCCGAACGGTTACCATGCCGGACTGCCACGCAGAGGTCCCAGGTTCGATTCCCGGGCCGGGAGAAATGTTTGTATGGCTTACATTTATTTCTCTCGTGAGTTTGGGTGTAATTTGTGGTTGTCTATGTGTGTGTCCATGGCACCCGCGACACAGGGTTTCCCTAGTGCGGGGCTATGTTGAGTGTGTGCGTTATTTATTTATTTATTATTTATTACCCTAGTAATAATAAAGTAAATTTTTTTCAGTGTCAAAACTTCCTTCGCCTCTGTGAGTTATTAGTGCGATCATGTCCTAACATGAGGCACATAGAGTTAATAACATCAAAGGATTCCAAATCAGAAGCAGACCAGAGAGAATGGCTCGGCAACCTGAGTAATGATTTACGTAAATACAAAGTTAGATTGGATGTCAAGTATTCAGGGACTCTGCATGACAGACAGATTACGTATGTGAATTTGTATCCTATGATTACATGTATTAAAAGAAATGCTAAACACAGAGGTATATTTAAATTTGTAGTAGTTTAGTTTTTTAACTTCGCTAGGTTATCATTGTTTGGAAATTTTGAAATATAATATGAGAAAATTCTCATGACACAGTGGTTTGTGCCCTTAAAAGAAGTTATTAAATAAAACTGTTAGATAATAGCATATAATGTTGGTTCTGATCTCAAAGTAAGTAGCTAAAGCACTTGTGTAATAGAAATCGAAAACAATGACGCATTACCACAAACACCCAGACCCTAGACAATATAGAAAAGTTAGTTCTACATTGAGCCGGCTGGGGATCGAACCCGGGACGTTAGAGATGGCGACACTATGAAAACCGGTGTGCAAGCTACTCAACCATGGAGTCCGTCTACCATCAAGTTTTTTTGTACATCTATTAAGCATAAATTTCTTTTCATGTGTAGTAATATGGTGTATTTTTTTTTTCAGCTTAAGCTCCGGCTGGATAATTAAAATAGGCAGAGGTCTAGACTTCTACAAAGCGCCTGAAAACAAATTTTGCCTCGGCGTCTATGATTTAGATCTAAGAACATGTCATGAGACCACAGTGGACATAGTTCACTCAAAAAATGTTAAACAATCGTATGGATGATTTTGCTCTAAGGTTACTTAGGGCCGTATTCTAGAACTCTACTCAATGCTCAAGTCAGGATTTGAGTATGGTTTAAAGCACTCGACATCATAGTCAAATCCTTGCCATTATGGTCGTATTTCCAGTGTTGCCAATCTTGACTTGAGCATTGAATAGAGTTCTAGAATACGACTCTTAGGGTCGTATTCTAGAAGAACTCTACTCAATGCTCAAGTCAGGATTGCACTGGAAACACAAGTACTGGAAATACGACCATAATGGCAGGGACTTGAGTATGATTTCGAGTGCTTTAAACCATACTCAAATCCTGACTTGAGCTTTGAGTAGAGTTCTAGAATACGACGCTAAATTTTTCATTGTGTAGTTATGTAAGAATATTTTTAATGTTTTTTATAGTATAACATGAAACGCTTGCATGTTTTATTCGATTTGTTTTAATTTACTTTTAAAACAACCAGTCGTATATCACGCTACGCTTCTTCCAATTTTGTTTCAATACGATTTCAAAAGATGGCGTCGTTTGCTACGACATCTAGTGTCTAATGGCTGAATGACGCTACATCGTAATGTCATCTATTCTACTTAACACTAGATGGCGAGCGACTATTTGTTATGTATTAAGATTTTCAAAAGATGGCGTCCTGTTTGGGTTCACGAAGTTATTTACGAATAAATAATTACACCTATTAGTGTAAAGCATATCATTTTTCCCCGCATTTGCGTGGAATAATATTCACTCCGAAAATCCTTAAGGTCTGCGATTTTCAAAGGTCGAAAAAAAAACGTACTATTGAATAATTACTTTATTATGAACAAATAACAACTGGGCGATACCCGCTATTGTAACGCATTTTTTTTACAGTTCAGATATAACGTATAAAATACAATCGATAAGTATAATTACATGCAATTTTTATAAAATTAAGTAGAGGTGGTATCAAAATGGTGTATAAAAATGTCGTTAACATTGATGATTTCTATAAAAAAATTTATTATTATCAAACTATATAAACTGTGCCTTTATAAACTTGCTAATATAAACGTTATGTGAATGACTTAAGATTTTCTAATGTAGAATTTTGACAGTAATTCTACTTGTGGGCAAATGTAGATATCAATATTAATGAAGTGTAAGCAAGTAAAAAGGCTATCGAGGACTAGTTCGTCAATAAATTAATTTAATAAGTATGGCCCCTGATTATATGAAACACTCTAACTCTAACTTTCGCCAGTGTACATTGCGGTTAAGGGTTGAATTCCCACTTGTTAGGAAGTATTTACAATTTGCCTTTACGTGGCATTGTGCATTGCACTTGATTCCACTTTGCCCTATACTGTGACTCTTTCTGACTTTACAGTGACTTGTCGGTAGTAACTGCGCAAAATACTTCACAATTTTGTTTAGCAAATATTGTACAGCGCCTTTAGAGCCCACAAAAACTAACAATTTGTTTGACTGTCACTATAAACTAATATATGTCACTATAAGGCACTGATCCTTGTGGTCGCATCTCTATTGCGATGTTAAAAAGTGCGGGCCATATCCTTATAAAACACCACAGATTAAAACACACATACCACCACAGCACAATTACGATACACTGTGGCCTACCAAGATCTTACTCTAAGTATATCATGAAAAGGACTATGATAGCTAGTAAAACAAAATAGAAGTAATATGATACATTTTAAATGTTGATTTTTCGTATGTAATATTCATACTGTTAGTAGTAACACGGAGTATATTATTCACACTTTGAAATTCATAAGAATTAAAATTTAACATGTCAGCCTTCAACTACAGATTAATAAAAATAAATCTAAATAATAACGTTCTTAAGTTTTTATTACAAAGCTGTTTAATACTACTTATTAGACTTTTATGTACAGTAACACTTTTACATAAAGTGGAATGTATGGCAATATATAAGAGAAAGTAAAAAAAGTAAAGTATTTCCAACTTACAAGCAACTACGCATGTATGGTCATGTTTTAAATAGATATAATAATATTTTAAGTATATTCTAGGTACAGCCGCCTGCATTGATATGTTTGCACTTGCCTTAAACGTTTTTTGAATTGTTAATCATTAAGCCAAGATGGGATTATTCTTTGTGCAAAATAACTAATAATTTAAATTAATAATGTGTTTACATTGCATTGCAAGCGACTGTGTTAAGTCATGTCAAGAATCCATTGTAACAAAATTCATGCACAAAATGTTCAGAATCCTTAAAAAATAATTCAGTCTCTCAATTTCTTACGCGCTAAAAATTCGTAACGAATTGTTTTTTTTTTATTACGCAAGTAATTTCATAGTCAATAAATACTCTTCAATACATTTCACGAAAAAAAAAATTATATTAACCGGCCAAATTTAGACGTAACTTTCCTGTTTCGCTGAGAACAACATCAAAGACTCCATCAGATGTGGTCGTATCATCTCTTCTACGTCATTTTGATGATCTCTAAAGGCATCTGGTTGGTGTTTGTAAATGTTCCTTAAAGCCTTGAGGCAGTGTATGAGCGTTTGGTCAGGGTTGACGCTGGCAGGTCCAGGCAACTGCGGCCGCGCTCGCTGCGACCTAACTAAACGGGTTAGGTGCGGAACGCCTTCTAGTTGCACGATTTGGTACGCCACATCCGGTACTACAACAAGCCTGAAATATGATTTTTTCGTAAGTAAGATCATACTGAAGACTGGTTCAATAACATAAGTAATGTTCGTAATGTTTCCTAAAAAGCCTTATCGTGATTCACATATCGGCATTTAAAGGAACACTAGTTAAAGAGTCAATACTATCTCAGCTCGAATTAAATTGTTTTTCCGTGCGAATGAATGCGGTTTATTTTGCTTGGGTCGAGCGGCAGGGACATTGACTTTATTTCAGAATTTATTTATTTACAAACGAAATTAAAGCCATTTGAAAAATGTATAGCGTAGAGTATACGTGTTCTATTTAGTTCAGTTGATATAAAAAAAAATAATTGGGATACGTAAAGTACTTATTGAATACAGCGGTTTTCTTGTAAAATTTCGAGGTATCGTGTTTTATATAAATATAAACGTTACAATTTAATTGTAATTGCCTCCGTGGCCGAGCGGTTCCAGATTCCATTCTCGGGCCGGGAGAAATATTTGTATGGTCTACATTTATTTCTCTCGTGAGTTGGGTTGTAATTTGTGGTTGTCTATGTGTGTGTGTCCATGGCACCCGCGACACAGGGTTTCCCTAGTGCGGGGCTATGTTGAGTGTGTGCGTAAACAAAATAATTATATATTCTATTTTTTTGTCCCGCTAAATGTGCAGATGAGTGTATATAGATCTGATACGATACTACCATATGCCCTTAGAAGGTATTTTCTTGGGACACGGGTAACTTGTAATGAGAGAATATCATAAACTGAATATCATCTGTCGCAAACTTGAACTTGTTGATAATATATGGAAATATTATAGAATTTTCAATTATATATCTATAAGACAGTATCTTGTCTATTTTTTTGTATTTGTCGTTTTGGTCTGCAATATTAATATATAATATAGAATGCCATTGGAGGTGCAGCCGTACCTGGAAATGGCCTCGGCCGCGTGGCAGTGCAGGCGGGCCAGCGCGCGCAGTTCGGCGTGTCGCGGCTGCAGCGCGGGCGGCGCGCGCGTGAAGCACACCAGCGCCGCCGGCACCGCCGCCTTGCGCGACAGCGGCAGGATGCAGCGCGCCACGCGGCATAGCGACGCCAGCAGGGACGCCGTTTGCTCCTGCGGATGGGACGAAGGTTAACTAGTGGTCGGATATTCGGATGCTTTTAAACCTAACTCAGGGCTTGAAGTGATAATTATCGATGATAATTATAATTATCATGATAGTTATAACAATTATGATAATGATAATTATCATGACAATTATCTTGGTAGATATACCTTGATAATCATCCCGATATTTATAAAATTAATTAATACAAAGCATTTAGCATTTACCGCTAGCAATGTCGTGCAATGTTTTTTATCAGAGACGTATTCTAAGAAATAAATTTCAAATGTCCATCTCAAAAAAAAAACCAAATCGTTTTCACAAAGATTTTTCACCATTTTTGTCTAGTTTTCTCACTGTTGTACTAATTTTTAGTCAAAAATGAAAGAGGAAAAACTGCATCGGCATGGATTATTATCGGATATATGTAGGATAATTATCAAAGAAAATAAATTCTTTATAATTTCGAACCCTGTTTATTAGGTCTACCTTACAATGACGGATATTCGGATGGTTTTGGCATAAAAGTATAAACTTCACTTTTTCCCGTGAATTTCTGTCGAAATATTATGGTAGCGCCGTGTTAATAATAGGGGTTAAAGTATGAAATTGCCGATTTGTACTGAAA